TATTGTGAGCTAGGCTGACGCCACGGCACTCTACGCTCAGCAACAGAGCCAGACTCTGTCTCAAAAAAATAAATAAAAAGAAAGCACCTGTAATCCTAGCACTCTGGGAGGCCGAGACGGGTGGATTGCTCAAGGTCAGGAGTTTAAAACCAGCCTGCACAAGAGCAAGACCCCATCTCTACTATAAAAAATAGAAAGAAATTAATTGGCCAACTAATATATATAGAAAAAATAGCGTGGCATGGTGGCCAATGCCTGTAGTCCCAGCTACTTGGGAGGCTTAGGCAGGAGGATCGTTTGAGCCCAGGAGATTGAGGTTGCTGTGAGCTAGGCTGACGCCACGGCACTCACTCTAGCCTGGGCAGCAAAGCAAGACTCTGTCTCAAAAAAAAAGAAAAAAGGCCGGGCGCGGTGGCTCACGCCTGTAATCCTAGCTCTCTGGGAGGCCGAGGCGGGCGGATTGCTCAAATCAGGTTCAAACCAGCCTGAGCAAGAAGGAACCCCAATTCTCTACTATAAATAGAAAGAAAATTAATTGGCCAACTGATATATTATATATATATATATATATATATAATATAAAAAATAGCCGGCATGGTGCGCATCTGTACGTCCCAGCTACTCGGGGGAGCTGAGGAGGAAAGAGTTGCTCGAGCCCAGATTTGAGGTTGCTGTGAGCTAGGCTGACGCCACAGCACTCACTCTACCTGGACACAAACGAGACTTCTGTCTCAAAAAAAAAAAAAAAAAAGAAAAAAGAAATCAGCATAGTACATAAGAGAGGTATACTCAGGCTACTGAACAGAATAAATAGTACTTCAGCAAACAGCTATCACACAAGAATCTTTCCAACAAGGCATCTGAGCCAATGCTAGATAGTCCCAGCAACATCTAGTAACATAGAAAGTACTGAAGAATAAGCCCTAGAAATGTCCTGCTGTCAGACTGCAGTGAAATCCACCAGCAGCTGTTGACTGAAGTTGCCATGTCGCCCAAGAAGGTCCTCTCCCCCCCTCAAGCCACTCTTCAGCCAAGTTCAACACTGAGTCAGTCCTCAAAGCTTCTTGCCACCTAACTCCCAGGGCAGTACCATGCTGACAAACAGAGCACTGTCCGAGGTGCAAGGACCTGGAACCCACTGAGTGTGGGCACACTATCTTCTGCCCGAGGGCTTCTGAGAGCAGGAGAAGCCAAGAACAGCCCAAGTCTGCCCTGTAGGAATTTGGTCTTTTTTATTTTTATTTATTTATTTATTTTTTGAGACAGAGTCTCACTCTGTTGCCTGGCTAGAGTGCCTTGGCATCAGCCTAGTTCACAGCAACCTAAAACTCCTGGGCTCAAGCGATCCTCCTGCCTCAGCCTCCCAAGCAGCTGGGACTACAGGCATGTGCCACCATGCCTGGCTAATTTTTTCTACATATTTTTAGTTGGCCAATTAATTTCTTTCTATTTATAGTAGAGACAGAGTCTCCCTCTTGCGCAGGCTGGTTTCAAACTCCTGACCTTGAGTGATCCACCCGCCTCGGCCTCCCAGAGTACTAGGATTACAGGTGTGAGCCACCACACCCAGGCTCCCTTTTTTATTTTTTGAAGATAATGTATCACTCCACTGCCCTGGCTAGAATGCAGTGATGTCATCACAGCTCACAGCAACCTCAAACTCCTAGGCTCAAGCAATACTCACTCCTACCTCAGCCTCCCGAGTAGCTGGGACTACAGGTGCACACCTCCACACCTAGCTAATATTTTCTATGTTTTTAGTAGAGACAAGGTCTTGCTCAGGCTGGTCTCAAACTCCTGAGCTCAAGCAATCCTCCTGCCTCTGCCTCCCAGAATGCTAGGATTACAGGCGTGAGCCACCACACCCAGCCCCGGCAGGAACATGGGTAAAAGAGTTATCAGATGCACAGCCATTGGCAGGAATTTTCCAAACAGGCACACAGCTTGTACCCACGTGGGCCTTGCAAAAGGGTAGACAGTCAGGAAATGGTCCACTGCACCAACCATCCAAATCCACCACCACCATGTGGGCTGCCCATTCATCCCTCAACTGAAACAGGTTGTTCTGGACAAGTGACCATTAACAAATGACCAGAGAGGGTGCTGACTTAGATCCCACGATGGGTCTCAGCCACCAAGCAGGGAAGGACCTGGCCTCTCACTTCAGCACTAAATGATCTGACCCGGGGCTCCTGGCTTCAGGACAAGGCCCTCTCTGCTCAGAAGCAGCCCCCTCCACCCAACAGCCACCCCCGACCCACCTCTGCTACTCTCGCACGTGCACATGCACGTTCACATACGTGCATGCCCTGGGATCCAGCTGTGGGATCGTCCATGCCTCCCCACTAATCCAGCACTCCCAGATTGCCGGGCCCCACCCACACCGGGGTGGGAGAGAGGGAGCGGCAAGAGCTTGCCAGTCCGGGAAAAGGCAAGACACACCAGAAAAGCAGGTTGGGTGTTTCAACGGTAACTGGGGAGTCACCTCACGTTTATCAGTGCTGCTCCAGGGAAATCTACCTGCAGCAGAGTCAGAACTGACAGGCCAGATACCTCCCAACCTGCAGGGTGAATTAAATGAAGGACCTAAGAGACAAGGGACCCCTCCTTAGTGCCCCATCCACAGTGCAGACGAGGAGAGAGCAACATCTTCCCGTGCCTCTGCGCACGCGTGGCTGGCAGGGGTCTGTGGCATAGCACCTCTCCAAGGATTAGCTTCTCCCCACTGCTTAGCTCTTTCTTCAGCACCCCACCCCCAGGCACTGTTGTTATTCCCAGAAGTAACAACACCAATCCGAAAACACTTTCGGCACACCCCCCACCGGCCGGCTCTGAGACACCCGCCCTGAGACACCTGACTACCAGCCTGGTTGAGCCTGTGACACACGCCAGGATGAGCCCCGCAGGAAAATGGGGTAGTCACTTCCCACATCAAATAGTACCTCCTGTCTGCCTGAGCCGGCAGGTGGGCCTCAACGCAGCAAGTGGGACTCACTGGCCAGGTCAAAAGTTTGCTACTCCAAGCTGTGACAGTGGTTCTTAAGGCTAGGCTCAGAATCTCCTACAGAGTTTCTTGAAAACACCATGTTGGGTCCAACCCCCAAAGAGCTAGTTAAAGAAAAAGGAAAGAATGGAGGAGGCAGAAGGCGCTGAGGCAGAAGGATCACTTGAGCCCAAAAGGGAGACCAGCCTGCACAACATAGTCTCTTCAAAAAAAGAAATAAAAAGGTTTGGCCAAGCACAGTGGCTCACACCTGTAATTCCAGCACTCTGGGAGACTGAGACAGGAGGTTCCACTTGAGCCCAGGATTTCAAGACCAGCCTGGGCAATATAGCAAGACCTCGTCTCTACAAAATAAATTTTTTTTTTTTTTTGAGACAGAGTCTCGCGTGTTGACAGGCTAGAGTGAGTGCCGTGGCGTCAGCCTAGCTCACAGCAACCTCAAACTCCTGGGCTCAAGCAATCCTACTGCCTCAGCCTCCCGAGTAGCTGGGACTACAGGCATGCGCCACTATGCCCGGCTAATTTTATATATATATATTAGTTGGCCAATTAATTTCTTTCTATTTATAGTAGAGACGGGGTCTTGCTCTTGCTCAGGCTGGTTTCGAACTCCTGACCTCGAGCAATCCGCCCGCCTCAGCCTCCCAAAGTGCTAGGATTACAGGCGTGAGCCACCGCGCCCGGCTTACAAAATAAATTTTTTAAAAAATCAGCCAGGCTTGGTGGCACCTATAATCTTTTCTCCTTAGGAGGCTGAGGCAGGAGGATCACTTGAGCCCAGGAGTTGGAGGTTACAGTGAGCTATGACGATGCCTCTGTAATCCACCCTGGGCAGAGTGAGACACTGCCTCCATTAAAAAAAAAAAAAAAGAGTTCACAGATGTGTGTCCGTGCAGCCTGGATTCCCCATCTGAGAAAGGGGCCAAGGCAACAGCACATTCCTCCCCCTCCCCTAGCAATTCAGGAAGCCTCCAAGACAGGAGCAGAGCAAAGCAGGCCTCCGAACTGCCCAAAGAGAAGCCAGAAAAGCCAGGGCCAGGGCCCCTCCAGGCACCATTACCCTTCTTTAAACAGACCTAGCCTCCTGGGTTATGCAGGTGCCCCGAGAATCAGACAGGACATGTGGTCACACTGCCAGAAGTGGGTACCTTCAGAGCACCTACAGGTCATGGGGTAAGCTCACTGCTAAGCACAAGTTTTAAACACATTTTGTCCATGTCTCAGAAAGGTGCACTCAAGCTCCCGTCCCTCGGTTCCCTGAGAGGGATCACGAAAAACATGCAATTCAGACTACGGCCCAGTTCCTGCCATGGGGAAGGCTGTACATTAAGTACACGCCTCCGTTTTCTCAGTTACGGGGAAAGAGGACTGGCACAGAGGAAAGCAAATGAACAGCAACAGTGAGCAACAGACAGGAAAACTGGGCTGTTGATGCTAACTAAATTAACAATCCCTGATGAATCTTCTCTGCTCCCTGAGAAGAGCACTGCCAGCAAACGAGAATTCCAGTGGTTGAGACAAGACTAAATCATGTCCCTCTCCATCTATTTTAGGAGAGAGGGTACACGTACCACATTTAAAAAAAATTTTTTGAGCCTGGTGTTACTATGTTGCCCAAGCTGGTCTCCAACTATCCTCCCACCTCAGCCTCCCAAGTAGCTGGGACCTCAGGCGCTAGCTACCACCACTACACTCGACCCATGTACCAAATTTTTAAAAATAGTCATCAAAATGATTTGACTTTATAAGTTTTTGATGCATACAAGGGAGGGAGCTTATACAACTGAAATTCACTTAAATAGGACAGCTCTCATCTCCCAGGACATGGGACAACTGTGACATGCCTGCAAGGGCTAACATGAGGACAGAAAGAGTGAAAGTGACAGGGTTCTACCAGGCAGGAGCCGCAAATAAACCAGGAGTGGTACCCCCACCCAAACCCCCGCAGTGAGCCGTCCCCCGAGTTGGAGCAGTCCTCTGGCCAGCCACTGCGCACCTTTGGCATGAAAGGTCCAGCCCCTCCGCCAGTACTCTTGCAGCTGGACCCGCTCCTGCTGCCCCAGGCTGCACACCTCGCTGTAGAACTGCCGCTCGATGTGCACGTAGGCCGCCGGGATGGCACCAGCCACCCCCTTGGCCCCGAAGAAGCCATTCACCTCTGGTGAGGCCAGCAGGATCTGGTACTCGGCCCTCGTGCCCAAGACCAAGTCCATGTAGGCCTGGGTCAGATTGAAGTAACCAGTGGTGAGGTAGACCTTAGCGCCTCGTTCGGCCTCAGTCAGCAGGGTCTCAGTGACAATCTCGTCAATTTGAATCTCGAAGGTATTCATCTGAATCAGTGGATAAATCCAGGTGTCAGGGGCTGGCCTCCGATCACCAGCAGCCGCTGCATCCTCCTGGGTCAAGAGGGAGTCGCCATGGAAGGTCTGGGCGTGCAGCATCTGCTGGCGGGTCCTGGCTGAGTTGATCACATCCATAACCCTCTTATTGGCTGCCTTGCAATACGCAGCCCGGTCACCTAAAGGAAGACACGAGAAAGAGGAGTGATGGGAAGTGAAATGAAGGGTCCAGACTCTGCCCGGCTCAGAGAACACAGCATGTGACAGGCAAGTGCAGATGCTACGACTGATCATTTACTGAACACATGTCGAGTGAGCACAGGAAACAAAGCCCTGAGAGCTAGGCTCCTCTGTAGGTACAGCTGCCCGAGACAAGGACCTTGTCCACAAGAGCCTACACTCAGGTGGAAATAAAAGGCATGCCCACATGTAATTCCAATTATAAGAAAGCTCATAATCCGAGCCGGGCGCGGTGGCTCAGGTCTGTAACCCTAGCACTCTGGGAGGCCAAGGCAGGCGGATTGCTCAAGATCAGGAGTTTGAAACCAGCCTGAGCAAGAGCGAGACCCCGTCTCTACAATAAATAGAAAGAAATTAACTGGCCAACTAATATATATAGAAAAAATTAGCCGGCATGGTGGCGCATGCCTGTAGTCCCAGCTACTCGGGAGGCTGAGGCAACAAGATTGCTGGAGCCCAGGAGTTTGAGGTTGCTGTGAGCTAGGCTGACGCCACGGCACTCACTCTAGCCTGGGCAACAAAGCCAGACTCTGTCTCAAAAAAAAAAGGAAGACCATCAGAACCATGGAGGGAGTCGCCTCATGTGGGGCTGCCTGGTAGAAGCCCCGTCCCTGTGCTGGGGGAGCTGCGGCTGCTGAACAGGGCTCAATCTGACTGCCTGTTTTTTATAAATAAAAAACTTGTGGAATCTGTTCCTCTCGTTATAAATGGATGTACATATTATCCTCAATTTGTGTTTGGCTCAAAAGCCTAAAATATTTACTATATGACCCTTAAAGAAACATTTTGCAGACCCGTCTGATATAAATGCCAGCCATGAACATGAGGGGAAGTGGTTCCCTGCTCTCAGGGAAGGATGAGGGGTGATCAGGGCAGGAGTGGGGTGGCCGGCATGCACACTGTGCTCAGAGAGTGGCGTGAACATGTGGAGAGGTGCAGGGGTGCTCGTGCCCTGGCATTCCTTCGCCCGCAGCCGTGGCCAGCATGGAGCATGTGGCTGTGTCCCTCCCCTGGCAGTTGCTGTGTGTCCACAAGGATGGATTCCTGCACAGGCCGGTCCTTTCCTTTGTTCCATAGCCCAGCCCTGAAAGGCACCCAGGTGTCCATTCCTGCTATTAGCTCAGACTGTGTGAGCGAGGAAGGATGACCCAGGACAGCACTCCTTCCCCTGTTTTGCTTTTATTCCTCATCAGCCTTGCCCAAAGGCTTGTTATTTTAACCCTCTTTTCTGAGAATCAACTTTGACAGTGTGTTGATATTTGCTATTTTTGTGTTTGTTTTCATTCTATTAATTTCTATTATTTTTATTTCCTTCTTTATATTGTATTTTAGTTTTATCCTATATTTTTTCTCCTGACTTTTTTTTTTTTT